ACATATCAGGGGAATACTCTGAAGAAAATGTTAGTTGGCATCTCAGGTGCAAGGCTGGATTACAGAGAGGAAATGGGCCACTGCCCGAGGACCCAGGACTCCAGGGTGTGAAAAAAAAGGCTGTGAGGTAATTGGTTTACAGTAATGTGTTTAATCATAACTTTATATGAGTATACCATAAAAGCTCTACTAAAGCATAATATCACTTTAAGTGACACAGGGCCTGTTTTATAACATTATCGAGGGACCTTGTTTTGGAGAAGGGCCTTGTGTTTGAAATCTTGTTTAAACATCTTCATTATATTTTGCTTATGGGGTGCATAATTCTTAAATCAATTAGGATTTAATCACATTTTGCACCCAGCCCTGGGACCAGGATACTTTGAAAAGAGAGGGAGAGGAACAGGGGGTTGATATGCCCCAAGATCCCAAAGCAGATTAATCTTTGCATGCCGAGGTGGTCAGTGAAGCTCCTGACTATCAAGAAACACTTTGTTCATCCGGGTTGTACATTTCATTTCTATTGGCCGTAACAAAAAGAAAGAAAACGCCCCACAAAAAAAGAGATTTCAGGGGGCAAATTGAACTCCTAAAAAGTCTTTGCTCTGGGGATACTAACGCAGATAAGTCTGACAGTCAGTACGTTAAAGTGCATGCTCACACAGCTATTTCTGCCAGTTCAATATTCTGTGCAGCCAGGTAGATGATTGTGCTGCTGATTGATACTCACTTACAATAATGTCAATCACTCAACGATTCCTGCATGAACGCAGACATAATCAAGTTGGATAAAAAAAAGTGCACAATTTATGAGTTTAACAGGACTTACGTGTCAAACCCTGAGAATGCAAAAGAGCCCAGGACAGCATTAAACTAGATCCTGGGATTGATGGAAGTAAAGTCGTCATAAGTCAAACTGGCGCTAGCACAATGAAGGGTGACCTCTGCTGACTGGAGTCTGGTAAAATGTGGGGGGGAGTGAGGTCTCCAGTGTAAATTCTTCTAACATTTTGATTAAAGTCCTCTTTCCCTTTTAAGGAAACCCTAAACACAGCACTCAATGAAACCATTTGCAAAGCGATACAGCCTGATTTGTATAATCTTCCTGGGACTTGAGGTCGCGGTGGAAAAATTGACAACTATGGGCCACAGGATCTTTTTAGTTCCTTGAATATAAGTCCCTGAACCTTTAGTTCTGGGGAAACTTTGATATTCAGACGCTGCAGGAGTGCTGTTACGCAACAGCATTCTTTACATTTCTTTGGAAAGAGACCCTGTTTGCCTTGAGATGTTCCCTACTGTATTATGTGATGAACATTTCAGATTGGACATTAAAGTGTTTAAAATTCTACGGGTACAGGGATGTTTGCCTCGTTGACGGTGTGCTGTTACATAAGAAGGAGCAGGTTTATCCGGTTTCATGTGTAGGTGATGTGAGCCTAATTTAACAAAACAGCTGTTGGAAAAGTGTACCCTAAGCTCATTGGACTTCTCCCCAAGAGGTTGTTACTCAAAACCCTGTCTTTAAGAGTGGTGTCTTAAATCGCTCTACTCATCCAAATTGAAATAAACACTTCTTGTCACACGCTACAGCAAGTTTCCAACCAGTGAACACAATCCTGCCAATGTACTAAGTAGAGTAAATACATTCTGTTAAATGTTCTTTCTGGGACAAATGCCAATGTCAAACCAGGTAACAATGTGCTGCCACTAGTTCACTGACATCTTAACAAAATGCTGAAATCACAACATTTCAAAGGGAAGCACAACTGAAAGTGAAGCTTTTCTCTCCTCTGTGTAGATTGTAAATCCCCAAAAATTGTGCTAGCGTGATGTTTTCCATCCAAAGCTGTGATTGGACGGGGGAAAAAAAGCTGTGTTGCCACATCAGGGATATTCCATGATACAGTATTGATCGCTTTAGGAGCTGCTGAAGGGAGTCAAGGGACTTAAAGGGATCATGGGATATGATGTTTTTGGTCAGTAATCACCCAGGTGATGACCCCCCCTAACAGTGTGAGGTGTGTGTTTACAGGGTTATATTGCTGGTGTGTGTGTGTGGATGGGTACATCTGCAGACTCAACAACTGAAAACGACAGCAGGTTTGTTCTAATGAGCTGGGCTTTAAGTCTTGACTCAGACCCTTACAGGATTCTCTGCTACCTTTCATGTGATTTGTCAAATAGCAGTTGCAAGATGAGCACATATAGAGTCCACCAACCAAGGGTCGCATTGGGATTTTATATGCAAGAGACCAAAACTGAAGTCATGACTACAGATTAAGGTAGCAATTATCAATGTTTCTGTTTTAAAGTTATGCAATGCTTGTGGCATGACTGTGGGAAAGGAAATGATCCATCCAACTTTTTTGTTCAGATGGAAGTGTCCCAACAACTCTTCGATTGCCAGATTTTTGTCCATTTGTATGGATCCCAGAGAACACATCCTGCTGTCTTTTTTGCTTCATCGGGGGCGTGTGAACAACAACATTTCAACATTTTGTTTCTTGACAATGAATATAGTTTACCTAGTGCACTCCGATCCTGGAACGTTTTAATTTATGGTGTCATGTAAGCCCATGAGGGCAGGGCATATAAATGTATGTATGACACAATAATAAAATTAAAAACATCAAACTTCTACCGTCAGTGTGTGAATGTGTAGGTGTATCCGGTGTAGAAGCACTGAGTAGTCAGAAGACTAGAAAAGCGCTATATAAGCTGAAGTCCATTTACCATACACCATAACTAGAAAAGTGGACTCAGTGGAGTACACATCTCAGCCAGCTGTTTCGTTGGGCATTTGGGTTCAACACAATCCATCAATATCAACGTCGAAATGAAAGGTAAGAGGTTCTGCCATCAACATGAATTGCTCAGCCGTGCAGGGCATCTAACTGTGATTTAAAAATGAAACGGCCTTTAGTACGGGGAACAATGCACTGTGGTTGGTTACATATTTGTATCATGTATTGTCAGAGAACTGTGAACTTGTGTTGAACTGGGTGTACGGTACGGTGTAACAAATGTCACATTACATGTAATATATATAGATTTAATTAATACTTCTATTAGCAACAGATCTTGAGGTTGGGGTCTTATTGTCGATCCATTGATTTATTTTGGAAAACTTAGTAACTTCTCTTTAAAAGCAACATAATTAATTATACTCTTAAATGTAACTAGAAACAGTTTATGGTGTAATCCTCTTGGGAAGGTTTGGGCTTCAGTAACTTGCCTTCTCCACTCATCATCCTGTGCCCTTGTGCTGCTTGGACAGACACAATTAAACACGTTCTGTTTTTTACCCCCCAGAGCTGATGATGGAAGTGTGAGCCATCTGGCTTCCTTCTCATCTCTGTGTTGAGGGTTGCACATGTGTCATGTGGACAGACAGGGTGGTACCACGTTAATCTCCGGTCGAGGATAGACAACAATTAAGGATTTCAAAGATGGTGGATAACCTCAGTCTTGAGAGGAGTTAGATATTGTCATTAAATATTAATGGTTCAGTTGAATAGAGAACAAAAAATATGACATAATCTTGTAGGCCAACCCGGAAGTAGCATCTCCATGGGGTCTAATGAGAATTCTCCTATGGGATTTTTTCATTGGATTTTGGATCACTGCAGAAAATAAGCTCTGTGGCAAACGCACGTTTCTGAAGCGTAGGCGTTTTGTTCAGCAGGATAATCTTCACAGATGAACACCATTTTTATGATGTTTGAAGTGTTAATGCGGCCGACAGAAGTAAAAAGCTAACGTTATGCTACAAGCTAACTACACCACGGTCGGATGATTGTGACGTCACTAGCGTTATGCTTCAGACGATCTCCGATAAACTAATCTGCGTAGTTTAATAAATTGTTTACTAACATAATATTCACCTTAACCTAAAGATTAAACCTACAGGAGACATCTCCGACTAGTGAGAGAATTCCCGGCCTCTGTGTCCGGCGTGATGACGTTTAATGTCCCCGACAACCACTGTAGTCACATTTAGCCTCTTGTTAGCAACCGCCTTTTTAAAGACGAGTAAAAACTTCAAAATTCACAAGTGGAGGTATTACCTAACGTAGTTTATGTGGTCTAACAAAACACCAACATATCTTCAGCTTGTGTTAACCACAGACCTTATTTCAGGCGTCTAACCACAAACCCATTCAAAATCCCCGTTGACTTTTAGATGTTAGACCCCATGGCGCTCAAATGCTAATTTACTTCAGGGTTTTAGGACTCATTCCTGTGGCGCTCTATTTAGATGAATTTCTAACAGGCAGACAGAATATTTAGATCCCAATGTACCTTCTACTTTGCAACATGTGATTGATTGAGTCCTTATCCAGGGAAGTGGAGATTAGAGAAGGGGAGCAAAAGACACCACTACACTCTGGATTAAACAGATTTGAATAATCGTCACAGTCATTTAGATTTTTTAGTATCCTGTATAAAAATTCTATAGGAATCACAATGCCTGACTTTCATCAGTTCCTGGGATAAGTAGGGAACATCAGCTGGCGATGGTAGCTTCATAGCATTCAGCCGCTTTTAAGCTAAGATTGAGAGCACACACACACCTACCCTGCATTGTATACACAAACACTTTGGAGTTACCAGTGAATACATGAGGCTTGTACTTTAAAGTTCAGGTTGATTGTGAAGGAAACAATCTCGAACGTGTTTGAAAAAGTCACTCAGTGCCAGGGACCTGCTGTGATACATTGCGTAACGTGAACAAATCCCATTTAGCTGGCGGTCACCCAGCGCACCTCGCCAAGTGTGAATACATTTTCAGCCTGATTGATCCTAGAGTGAAACAATCCAGAAAGCACGGCAGTGATGTTTGTGTTGTCCTTTTGCTATTGAAACGTTCCCATGTAAGAGCATCCTATCCTTTTTTTAAATGTCCGTCGGCGTGGTGTATCTGGGGAAACTCCCAATGAATGACATTGCTATACGAAAAACAAGCAGCCAAAATGTCTGTTTGATTGTTCACTTACAGAAGGAGCTGCTTTCGTCCTTTGTGCCTTCCATGGTGCCATCCGGCAGCATCTGGAGGTAGAAGCCGTGTCTGCAGTAAAGCCGTGTGACGATGCCCTTCAGCTGGGGCTCTGCAGAGCAAACACAGGGTTAAACACACGTTAGCATCGAGGGACACATGCACAAACACTTCCTCGGCGTACATATTAATGCACGACAACACCACCTATTAGCATGCACTTTGACTAAACAAGAGGCAGGTCTTGATATTTGCACTGTGAAATAGTCAAACAGGGAAGTGTGTGTGTGTGTGTGTGACTGTGGCCTTCAGGAGGACTGATAGGACCGCAGTGACTGTTCAAGTGAGGCAAGCAAGATGTTCATTCTGTCCGTTTGTTTGTGTCTAATACATCTAGTCCGTGTCTGTCTGTGTCTCTGTAGCAGCTGTCTCCTCCACAATGGGGCTAGCTTGTCACACATCTAGCCACCTTAAGGGACTAAAGGCACAAACATGTCTGAACCTTCAAATTCCAGTAGTTTAGAAAGGATATTAATGTCAGGATAGCAAGCTTTGTGCTTAGCTTTGTGTTATTTTAACATTAAGCATCAAGAAAGATCTGCTTTCTTGGAGTATATGGTTGCTAGCTGGAAATAAGCCCCCAAACAGCCCCTTAATGTCTCTCCCAGACCATTTATAATGGCTGCACTAAGTAGTTCACTTCCTTTTAGTTGTATTAGTTACTCAACATAATAGTCTGTAAGTTACAGAATCATTTGTTAGTAATTTGTTAGACGTAACATCCATCAAAACCCTGATCTCCATCGCAAACATCAAAAATTAGGGACTCAAGTTCAGGACTCAGACTTGATTCACTTAAGTCACATCTGAGAATTGACTCAGACTAGCAACTGACTAGGCCAGCTTTTCCCAAATTTAAAACTGCTGTGGCCCACTTTGATTACTCCGGTGCCCATTATAAAATAAAAGTTTTGACTACAGCTATCACTTCAGGTAGGGTAAATGATTGGACATGACAACATGATATTATGGCAAGATAGACAGTTACTGAACATTATGTCCATGAATAGTCATGACACACCTTACTAATCACTTAAAGGGTTGACTCATTTTAAATCATCATTATTGTGGCTTTTCGCGGCCCACCTGCAGTACCCAAACTGCCCACCAGGGGGCCGCAGCCCACACTTTGGGAAGCACTGGACTAGGTTATTGTCAAGCCTTGTCCACACAACATGTGGATCCCCTGTTGCGATAATGTGATACCAAGTGAATCCTTGCAAAACTCAAGTTGGAGGCAGTGGACAGGGAGTGCCACGCCTCTGTGTTGCCATAGAGACGAGAAGCATTGTACATGTGGATAATAAAACAACAAAGCTTGATTAATGTGTGAATTACTCCCACATTAACTTATTACGTAGGATATTAATATGGTACTGTATTTAATATGAATAGCTAGGTTGACCTTGGAACCCTATAAGTGCTAAACTGGCATGAGAGAGTGATACACTTTGTCATATTTTCAAGCTTTGAGAACCGTCTAAAACTGGGGTTGAAAACTGCTTTTGAAATTTGAATGCTTTGTTGTATGAGATCAAGCACAGAGAGCTCAATATTTAGCATACAAGAAGGAAAGATGTCTAGAAACAAACTTAATGGTCATACTGAACGTACTACAAAATGAGCCATCTCCCATCATCTATTTACTGCTGCTCTCAAATACCGTTTGTCATCATTTATTAAATGTACTTGGAGGCTCCAGACTGCTATTTGTTTCATTGAACAACTGGCTTGTTTCTTCTTCCAGCACTCTTAGGATGAGTTGGCGTGTCTTCCCCTAACCCGGTGTTTGTGTTGAGCTCCTCAGGCCACACACGCAGGACTGAGGGGGTCCTTCCTCTCTGAAGTGCTGAGGGAGACCAAATAGTGGATCAGAAGGAATGTCAGAATGCTGAAGTGTTTCCATAATCAACTTTTAATGAGAAGTATCAAATATGGATGAGGGCAGAAGAGTACGGGGGGGGGGGGGGAGTTGACAGATGGACCTGGGTTGACAGCAGGGGTGTGAGACACAGAGAGAGAGAGAGAGAGAGAGAGAGGGAGAGAAAGGGAGAGAGAAAGAGAGAGAGAGAGAGAGAGAGAGAAAGAGACAGAGATAGAGAGAGAGAGGGAGAGAGAGAGACAGAGAGAGGGAGGGAGAGAGAGAGAGAGAGAGAAAAGGAGAGAGAGAGAGGGGGAGAGAGAGAGAGAGAGAGAGAGAGAGAGAGAGACCTCCAGTGTGAAAGATAGTCTTTCCCACATTTACACTCATAAAATTGATTCATAAACAAAATTAATACAGTTCCAGTGGAGTACTTAAAAAAACAATTATGTAACACCAACACAACCTGATTTTGCCTTAAAGGCACTTAAGCAATTAATTATTTTGCACTTCCATAAAGTAAGAGGGACGGATACATACTCAAAGAAAAACACTCAACATATTAAACATTTGACTTTAAATCAACCAAAAGAGAAAAAAAAAATAAAAAATTCTCCTCTCTGCTTTGTGACTGCCCGGCTTTCAAGCAAATGCTCCAGTGTGCTCTGCCATTTTTATTCATCAATATACAGTATATGCATTTTAAAAAATAACCATCATCTTAGTATGATAGCCAATGCATCACTTTTCTTGCATTACCCCACGGATATGTACATTCTGCAGTAGAACTATGTGTCTTTTATAAACAGTCAATTACACAAAGTCAACATGTACATGATAAATAAGCTACCTGTTTGTGAAATGAAAAAGTAAAGTTCCTTAAATATAAATAAAAAAATAAAAAAAATTGTCCTTTTTCTGAATAACAAAATAAACACTGCTGTGTGTTTTGTTATTCATTCATATTTTTGAGTTTGGCCTCAGAGAGGGAGAGAGGAGGAGAAGGGTGAAAAGTGATGGACGGTGAGATGAGATATAAGTCAACTGGCAGCTCAACAGAAAACGCGTTTTACATTATTTTAATGCAATTTAAGTCGAAATCACCGAAAATGTCTTACCCTATATCGTGTTTGAAAACATCTTAGAAACTCGATATATCTCCCAGCCCGACGTTGAGCCTTCTTATTGCAAGCCATCAAGAATGGAGACTTTGCTGTCTCTTTAGCATTATAACTAAGCTAGCCTTTAGCATCTCCTATGAGGTTGGTTTACTTTCTGTCTTACCTGTTAGTTACTTTGAACTTTGGGTTAGGTCAGGCTTTAGTTCAGTTTAGAATACACATCAAGAACTCAACAATAACTTTTAGTTTTACATGGGACTTGAACCAAGCTCTTGGTCTTGGTGAGTCCTCAATTGTTTGACCCACGCTGTGCCCTTTACCAGTACTACTCCATGTTGACTTTTGTTGATGTTGCCTCCAAGAGCTCTACACTGGAGTTGGCTAGAAGCCCAGTTCAGACAGTTCACCCTGAGCGGTCTGCGTAGGCTACAAAGACTTGGTCCTTTGAACTATGCGACTCCTGAAATAAGAGATAACGGTAAATTAGTGTAATTTCCATTAATGATAACTTGAGTGTTCGTGTAATTTGTGAATATTGATATTTCATCATATGAAAAAGGGTACCCCTAAATGTAACAATCAACCTTTCCACTCTGACTCTCTGCTTAGCTAACAGATCTTTCTGTGAACATCCAGATGTTGTGAAATAGAAGCTCATCAGTGATAAGTCTTGCGGCCCGTGAATTACAATTCTACTATTCACTTAGCAGACGCTGAATGAATGAGTCAAAGAAATGCTAGGTTGTAATCCTCCCGTTCATGCTGACAGTGTGGCACAACATGTCGGGAAGCTTTTCATCAGAGTCTCCGGCCTCTCAGCGCTGATGATTGAGTTGCTGTAACTACTAGAAGATAAAAGCTTGTCCGACTAGACGCAGAAGGTTAGATGTGGAGTGTGGTAATCTGTACTATCCTGCGTCTTAATCCCAAATAAAGCCTCAGACCACACAGCAGGCCATGTGCTGCTTTACACAACCGCTCCAGTGCAGAGCAGAGTAACAAACACACACACAGGATGCTGACCTTTAGCGTAGCGCCATCTGCGTACATCTCTGTTAGGTGAAGATGCCAGGATCCAGAGCACTCCGCTCCTCGGACACAAGGACATTCAAGACTACTGGTGCAAGTTAAGAGCATTTACAAGGCTACTGCACACACACACGTATACACCCATCTACCCTCCCTCACTGTGCACAGCATATTTATTTAAATCTTTGAATAGGCAAAGGCTAGAAGTAGAGATGACAAGGAGCATGAGGCTTTGTCCTCTTAGGTGGTCGATGTTTACTGAAAATCATGACATCACACTGAAATAAATTTGAATTATTTTTATTTGAACATATTTTCAGATTTAATAATTTCAGTGATTTTTTAAATGTTCTATTTTAATGTTTATTTTCTTTCCTCTGTCATGATGCTTTTGATGTCTTGTGTGAAGCACTTTGAATTGCCTTGTTGTTGAAATATGTGCCATAAATAAACTTGCCTTGCCTCACTGGGAAGTTTGGAAAAAGGTATTTTGGTGAGAATTGTGTGTGAAGGCCTATTCTGTTGGGCTGAACAGAAATAAATGATAGGCTAAAAAAGAGACAATTACCAATGGTAAAGATTCTAATGAAAACAATTTAGGTGGTCCCATTTCGTTGCCACCCTTTTGAATCCTGGAACAATTTGCTGACGACTTCCCAAGTCAAATTTGTGGCCAGGTGACGGAACTGGAGGAACACAGACATTGATTCCCATGAAGCCCAACATATATCGAATTTCATTTTTACAAATTTCTAATAGGACAGAATTCAAAACAAAAGTTCTTTGAAACAGGTTTTTTTAAAGTCTTACATTTGGTCTTTTAATTTGCCTTTATCAGACTTTTGTTTGCCATCACATGGATGAGGAGAGTTCATACTCTTAGAGTGGGGTGACTGCTTTCAAACTGCTGCAGCACTCTCCAGGGCCAATTTGTCAAATATAGATTATATTTCTGCTAGGCTCTTTGAGTGGTGCATAATATATGCAGAAGTCAAACTACATTTGGCCAAAAAGTGCAAAGTTTTTATCACCAATGCATAC